AAGGCCTGCCTGTCGCAGATGTCTCACTGTCCTCTCAAGCCCAGGAGAAAAGGAACCCAAGAAGCAGAGGGTGCTACGCACAAGGGTCAAAGAAAATGAGTGTTTGAAAACAGCAAACCCAAACCCATCTTCCTGGCCACACTCACCTCCCCCGCAAAAATAAAACACAAGTCATTCTGAGAGCTGAGTTAATTCACACAACAGCAGGTTAATGCGACTCTGTTTTGGGCTCCAGAAAGTAAGGCCTGACTCCATCCTACGGGCCGACTGTTTTTACTTCTCACGTTTTCTGCTTCTATATGCTCTGCAGCCAACAGAACTGTCACAACAGGGGCTCCCAGAGATAAAGAGAACTTACGACAACTCCGCACCGGAAGAGTCAAGAGACCGAGGGGAGGGCCTGCCTCTAATGCAGCTAAGGCCTCACACCGTGGCCTGGGATGTAGAGACGAGCTAGGCCTGCCGCGGTCCTTAGGATGGAACTGCGGGAGCTGAAAAGCAGAAGCATCAGCCACGAGTATGGACACTGAGCAGTCATGATGTGTGGAGAGGGCTGGTGAGTGATGTGCAGATGGCACAGGACGTCCACAACAGGCACTTGTGAACCCGTGTTTTGAGGAAGCAGAAACTATGAGTAAGCAGACACGGCTGCAGGGGTAGCCAGTGATGAGTCCTGCAGATGTGAAATGAGAAGCAGAAATACCATGAAAAAGTCGACAGCCCCTGGAATGTCCTCGGTCCCCACTGGTTTCTGGATTCACTCATTCAGAGAGCATCTCCTCTGGGCTCCGCACTGAGCAGGGACAGGGTGGTGACGGAGAAGGGTCCTGCGTCAGAGCAAACGGTGCATTCCGGTCCACACCACAAGCGACCCTGCAGTAAGGTCCTCTTTCCCAGAGGGCCCCTGAGGTGAAGAGACTACCCACAAAACTGTACTTTGTAAGACAACGTTGCCTGTCCTCCAGACGCCAGCGGCATGAGTTAGGTCATTTACTTATTTGAGTTGCAAGGAGACTCCCATGATTGCTTTTAGGAACAAAGGCGTCTTCCAAGTATACACCTTAAGGTGGTGAGAGTCAACTTCTATCAATTCTTTCAGCGTTATCATGGTTGGGGCTTAGCACAGGGGCTCCAAACACACTGATCGCAAGGGCCAGCAGAAACTCTAAAAGCAAATTGGGGTGTGAGGAAAAAAATCAGGCTGCCCTCTCTTATTTTCCTGCTTTTTGATAAAACCATGACAAGTGGCTTTTGGCTTCAACTAACAGAAAAGCCGACACAGTGCCCTAAACAGCATCAGGTTTCTGATCTTTACTAACTTCTCCCTGATTCCCTACTGTGCCATCCACATCCTGAACCGGTTCATCTCATGACTGAGACCACTGCCAGCAGCAATTAGGCCCCTAGGCTTCCGAACCCATGCCCCGTTTGGATGAGTGTCTCCCTTGCAGTCATGGAACAAGAGTCCTTTCTTTTAGCCTGACTGGGCCAATTCATGTCATCTGTGCTCTGCTGGGCCCTGGGGGGAATGTCATGTCTTTAATGGTTACAGTCTGGGTTTCCAAACCAGACACTGTGAAGAGGCATGAGAGACGAACATTGGTTCTGAATATTCAGATCGAGAAACACAGATGAAGTTAGCTTCTCCTGAGCCGCATGGGTAGCTGGGGGGAGCAAGGCAGGGAGACAAATCGAGAGCAGGCAGACGAATGAAATCAGGATTCGGTTTGGAAGGAGAGGAGGGTGTGCACTCCACGTTAGTGTAAGGCAGCACTGTCGGACGGAACTTCCTGCAACAGTGGGGTGATCTATACTGTGCTGTTCACCGCAGTCGCCTCCGCCAGTCGCAAGAGGCTATTGGGTACTTGAAATGCGGCTGTTGTGATGGAGGCACAGAACTTTTCCTTTTATTAAAATTGTAGTAATTTAAGTTCAAATTGCCACACATGGCTAGTGGCTACCGCACCAGACAGCGTAAAGAGAGAAAATTTCTCTGCAGTAAGAAAGCAAGACAACAGAGAGTGAAAGGGATGTAAGCTGGAAACCGTACGGCCCACATCAGACAGTGGCCGCTACCTGGTGTCAGGTTCTGGCCCCCAGAGAAGACAGGTGTGCTTTCATCTGATGCTGCCTAACAAGCCTGCCCTGAACTTACTGGTTTAAAGTAACAAGTATCTCATTTGTTCACAATTCTGCCATCCGGGCTGAGGCTCAGCTGGGCAGTTTCTGCTGGTCTTGCTGCTGGTGACTCGTGTGGCTTCCTTCAGCGGGGAGGTTGGCTGGGGTCATGGGGAACTCCTCTCCACATAGTTGCAGACTCTTCTTCGACACGTGGTCGCTAAAGCAAGGTGCCCAGACTTTTTATGTGGGGGTTCAGGGCTTCCAAGGCACAAAAGTAGAAGCTACCAGCCCTTGCTAAGGTTCAGGTTCAGACCTGACCCAGGGATACTCCACCACATTCTCTCTACCTAAGCAAGTCGTAAGCCCACAGCTTTTTTTTTTTTTTTTAAGATTTTATTTAATTATTTGTGAGAGAGAGAGAATGAGGAGAGAGGTCAGAGGGAGTAGTAGACACCCCACCAAGCAGGGAGCCCGATGTGGCACTCGATCCCAGGATTTGAGGGTCACAACCCGAGCCGAAGGCAGTCACTTAACCAACTGAGCCACCCAAGTGCCTATCCATAGAGGTTCTTTTTTTTTTTTTTTTTCTTTTTAAAGATTTTATTTATTTGACAGGTCACAAGTAGGCAGAGAGGCAGGGAGAGAGAGAGAGGAAGGGAAGCAGGCTCCCCGCTGAGCAGAGAGCCCGATGCGGGGCTCGATCCCAGGACCCTGGGATCATGACCTGAGCTGAAGGCAGAGGCTTTAACCCACTGAGCCACCCAGCGCCCCTCCACAGCGGTTCTTAATCCCTGCCACATTCTCTTCACCAAAGCAAGTCATAAGCCCAGAGCAGTTTTTAAAAACACTGCAACCAAACCGAAACATTTCTTCCCGCGGGACTGATTTTGCGACTTCATGGTGTCAGAGACAGCAGGGTATACCCGACTTCCTACCCCAGGACCAGGAACTGCTCACAGTGCCTCAGGGTATACCCCTAACTCCGTAACTGCCATACCCACGTCGTTCCATTAGCTCTACACTCCTCAGCTGAGATAACCCGGCTGAGTTAGTGTGGGGTCCTCCAAGATGGCCCATCTGCACTGAACAGAGCTTCATACTAAATCATCATGCGAACCAACAAATCGCTTCACTTTCACGCCGTTTACTCTGCACTTTCCCGGACAGTGTCAGTTTCATCAATCTTTTAACAAATACCTGTGGAGGTTCTGTCTCATGTTCCAGCCAGACCGTGGAAGAAGCACTGCATTGTACCAGGGATTGAGAAAAACCCTTTATTTAAGACTGAGCTCTACTGCCTACCAGGTGTGTGATCTTACGGGGTTTGCCTTTCTTCAGTTAAATTAGGAAACCAATGTATGCTTTAAACATCAGGGGAGTCTCAAAAAAACTACCATTTAAAAGTCAACAAATATTCACTCATTCAAATCCACATGTATTTCCTGTTGGCGGGGGGTGTGCTAGATTATGGGAACACTGTAACGGACAAACAAAATCACACTCTCCCAGGTCTGAAGACATACATTAAATCATTTCACAAAACATAGGATCATAAATGAACGTGGTGCTGTGAAGAAATCGTATAGGCACCCTAATGACACAGGAAAAGCTTCCGCCCTGTTCTGGGAGGATCAACTAAGCTAACAGCGAGGATGATCTGCGCGTTAATGGACTGGGAGGGAAGGTCCCATTCTGCCATTCCGTGAGTCCCTCTTTAAATACCTATTAAGTACCTAATGCGCGCTGTGTTGCCACCACCAGGTGGGGATCGGTCTCCGGGTCACTCATTTAGGAAAATAAACAGGAGAATGCGTGCTACTTCAAGGAAGGACTTCTTACCTACCTGGCAAGCCGACTCCTCAGGTCACGGCTGGCCTCGAGGACGGAGGAGGTTAGAAGCAATGGTTTCGCGGTAGCCCCAGCATTCCGATGCGGGTCCCACCGCTGGAAGCCATGCTCCGGCCATTTCTCAGGGACACACTCACTCCACCACGTGCCGGTCACTGTCGCAGGTGCTGTGGGCGCGATGAAGACGACGACACGTTAGAACCCTGCCACGTGCAGCTAGTACCTGTGCGGACCAGGACAAGCCGGGGAGGGGGCGAAGGGGGACACCCAGGAAAACCGTGGCAGGTGCTACGGAGAGACGGAGAGGGCACCGGGATGGGGGCGGGTGCACTTCAGACGGGACGGCCGCGACAGGCTCACAGGGAGCGACACCTGAGCTGAGGGGCGAAGGGCAGCGGGAAGCCGTCCCTGTGACAAGGACACGGGCTCTGAGCCTGGCTTCTGGGACAGCGGTCCTTCGTAGGGACCCCCGGGAAAGCCTGCAGTGTGGCCGCCAGCCCGGGAGGCGGGCGTGGAGCCGGCAGCCGGCGGACAGCGGAGGCTAGAGGTGCCGCTCACCGTCCCAGCGCGCACGGGGCAGCCGGCCACACGGAACTCAGCCCCGACAGTCAGCGCCGCGCCTGCAGACACCCCGTCCGGGGCGCGGAGGAAGCCGGGGGCAGGCGCCAGCTTCGCAAAGCAGCCTGGAGCGCGGGCACAGTCCGGGGCCACCATAACGGTCTACGTTTCCGTAACCGAGAGTTGACAACTTGGCCGGGCCAGGCCACACTCCACTTTTAAAACTCTGCGGGTGGGGACGCCGGGACTCTGACGCGCCACGCACGCCGGAAGCGGGAGCCCACCGGAACCGGAAGTCACCGGCGGCCGCGGCCAATAAGGGTACCGAGACGGGGGCGGGCCGAGGCGTGGCAGGACGGGTTTCACGAGAAGGGCGGTAGCCAATAGGGACGCCCCGGGGGCGGGCCGAGGCGTGGCCGGGCGGGTCTCGCGAGAAGGGCGGCGGCGTCCAGAGAGGCTGCGGCGCGGAGCGGCGGGCGGAGCGGCCGGCTGGGGCATGGAGGGCGCGGCGGGCGAGCGGGCCCCGCTGCTGGGGGCGCGGCGGGAGGCGTTCGCGGGCCGGCGCGCGGCGTGCGCGGCCGTGCTGCTGACGGAGCTGCTGGAGCGCGCCGCCTTCTACGGCGTCACGGCCAACCTGGTGCTGTTCCTGAACGGCGCGCCGTTCGGCTGGGAGGGCGCGCAGGCCAGCCAGGCGCTGCTGCTCTTCATGGGCCTCGCCTACCTGGTGTCGCCGTTCGGCGGCTGGCTGGCCGACGCGCAGCTCGGCCGCGCGCGCGCCATCCTGCTCAGCCTGGCGCTCTACCTGCTCGGCATGCTGGCCTTCCCGCTGCTGGCCGCGCCCGCCACGCGCGCCGCGCTCTGCGGGGCCCCGCGCCCCACGCGCCTCCGCAACTGCTCGGCGCCGCCCTGCCCCGACGCGCCCGCCCGCTACTGCGCGCCCGCCGCGCTGGGCGCGCTGGCCCTGGTCGGTCTGGGCGTGGGCGCCGTCAAGGCCAACGTCACGCCCTTCGGCGCCGACCAGGTGAGCGCCGCGCGGGAGCGCCAGGTGCGCCCAGGTGCGCGCGCGGGGCGCCGGGGAGGGACGGCCCCGTCGGTGGACGGGCGCTGCCTTCTGGGGAGGGGCCCTCCGGGAATGAGGGCGAGGTGGCGACTGTCAGAAGAGCGGTCCGGGACACGCCAGCAACAGGTGCAAAGGCCCTGGGGCCGGGGAGGGAGCGATGCCCTCGTCGCAGAAGCCGCTTCAGTGACAGTCCTGCAGCGGTCTATAAATGGATCAAGTCAACACGGATGGTACACGCTTCAAGTTCCCCAACGTTCTATATCAAATACCTTTCAGAGGACCTAAAACAGAAGTGGGGAGAGCAGTGGTAGGCTGGGGCCAGGTCCTGTGAAGCCTTTAAAAGACTTTGAGGCGTATTTTGAATAGAGTAGGAAGCCTTTGTGGGTTCGGGCGGGGGGTGGGCGGGAGTAGCATGATCTGGTGTTCGTTTCTAAAAGCGGGGCTTCGAGAGCGCAGGTGTGTGCTTGGCAGCTGAGGCCTGACAGCCAAATCTGGTCCACTTCCTGTTTTCCGGGGGCCCATAGGCTGAGAATGTCGGTGGTTCTTAGGTTCCTGAGTGGTAGAAAAAAAGCAGAAAGAGTCTTTTGTAGCAAGGGAAAGTTTTATGAAATTCAGATTTCGGTCGCCGTAGATAAAGCTTGATTGGAACAGTCCTGCCTGTTGCTTTTCGCACACTGGTCTGGGCGGGGGCCACTTTCACGTGCCGCAGCAGAACGGGGAGTTGTGACCAAGACTGGATGTCTCTCAGAACCTAAAGTCCTTACGCCCTGCTTCGTCACAGAAAACGTTTGTGGCGTGGTGAGGAGATGGGCAAGGGAAGTGATGACCACCGGCGTACCAGGTGGGAGTCCATTACATTGGCCCAGTTAGAGGGACTTGGACTAGGGTGGACTCGGTGGACGTGGATTCAGGAGGGCGCATTTAGGACAAGTCGTGTCGTAGAGTCTGCAGCAGTAGGGAGGACGATGCCTAGGTTTTTGTGCTGAAGAACCGTGTGATTGTACCGACGGTGCTGTGCACCAGGCCCTGTGCGCCATCCGGTCTTAGTCCTCGTGATACCGCTGCTGCTGTTGTGCCCATTTCACAGATGAGGAAACCAAGGCTCGAGAGGATAAAGCATTTGCCGCAAGTCGCACAGCTAGTACAGGACTGAGCCAGCGTGCAGAAGCCTGTGCTTTGAATGTGAGCTTTAGGTAAAGGACCTGTGTCAGGCTCCCCTCGAAACAAGGTGGCACATTCTAATGATGTTGGGAGTGATAGCTGCCTCGTGTCCCAAATTCTTCCTTCTCTGCACCAGGAAATGTGCTTTACCCACGTGAACTCATCGGACCTCATGTGAATCCATACCTGCTTTTCCAGTAAGAAGATTGAGGTACAAAAGATGACTTCTTTTTGTTGTAGGGCGTGGTCAGGCCAGAGTGGTAGTCGGGTCTGATTTCTCGATCTCTGCTTTAACCGTGGCTTCGAGATGGGCATTGTGGGACACAGTGCGGCTGGGGCGGACTTGGGTGTCTGGGCCCAGGCTGGTGGCTTCGGCCCTGCTGCCGTCAGTGAAGGCACAGCATTAGCAGCACAGTGAAGCACCTTTAAAACCGGCCACGTGGGCCACGAGCCACATGAATGTTTGTCGTGCCCCTCATTGTCCTTGTTCTACTGCCTTAGCTACGCCTCAGGACAGCTTACAGACTGCGCTTGTGTCTTTTACCGGAAACACCCGGGGAGAAGGTTCGACCCACCCAGAACCACAGCAGGGAAGTGGGAGCTGGGTTTGGACCCAGGCAGGCCGACTTAAACGTCTGTTCCCTCCAGTCAGTAATGGACCATAACGGTTAACGGTTACGGTTCATAAAGGAATGGTGTTCTTGTAGAGGTTTTCGAGAATGCGTGACGGAACGGGAACTTTTTTCACGTGTAATAACACTTGGACATTAAAAACAAACAAACAAACAAAAAAACGCTTCTATGAGATAACTGGTCTAATCTCTTCAAATATTTAAAAAAAATTTTTTTGTTTTCATTATGTTCGGTTGGCCAACACGGAGGACTTCATAAGTTCTCGTTGTAGCGTTCAACGATTCACGAGTTGCTTACGACACCCAGTGCTCACTCCAACACGTGTCCTCCTTGGCTTTATTTTTAGGTTCCCGTGGGGTGTTGCAACTTTTAAATCATTCAGCTTGATGAGTATTTCATTTATAGCTACAGAAAAAGAGAACCAAGGATCTAGATGCAGGGTCTGTAAAAGCGTATGTTTCACTGTTCCCTTCAGTTTGGGCATAAGATTAAAACGTTGAAGTGCATGGTTGAGATCATACCCTGAAGTGATGTGTGGACAAAGTAGATGGGATAAAGTGATGGGATAATGTAGATGGGGTCCCTAGGCGCACTGGCACCTCCCCCAGCCGTGGGCGTCGGTACGGGCTATGGTGGGAATGAAGGCTGGGGACGCCATGCCATGTGATCCAGACGTGAATGCTGACACGTCCTTCCATTCCTATTGTACGAAAGTGCCTGGAATGGACAAACCCATAAAGACTGGAAGAGCAGTGGCAGCAGGGGGGCCGGTGGAGAGCGAGTGGGAAGTGCCCGTGAAGGAACTGGGTTTCTTGGTGGTGTGATGAAATGTGGAATTAGATAGTGCTTGTGGTTCCTCAAGTGTGGGGAGGCTCAAACCCACGGAGACAATTGTACCTCAAAATGGTGAATTGTTTCATATGTGGACTACGTCAGCAACAAAGCATTTAGGAGGGAAACGTTGGTGCCCTTCTGCCAGGGTGCTAGCTCCGCGGCCAGTGGTGCTGGCTTGGTGGAGGGGGGTGTGACTCCGAGACCCAGGTCTGGGCAGGAAGCCCGCTGGGCGGATGGCTGCACTCGTCCTCAGGATGACTTAGCTGCTCCTCTCCTGGCTCTTCTCATTTTGAGGAACTCTGATTGTGTTTCTAAAGTACTTTATATGCTCTCTCACTCCCCGCACCCCTTATCTCTGAAACAGGGCCTATAGGGATTGTTCTGAACGAGAGGCGGCCGGGATCAGGCTGTGCAGCTCTGGGGGGTGTCTGCTGGCTTGGGACGGCAGGTGGGCTGCTGACGACGCCGAGGTGATCCACGAGGACCCCGGTTGTGCCAGCCCCTTCATTCCCCCCAGTGCCCCACCTGTTGCAGAGATCACAGTGTCCTTTCAAACAGAGAACTGAAAGAAGAAGAGCTTACTACACAGATGTAGAGAGCAAATGATACATTTTTTTTTCTGATGGAAAAGAAGTGGCAGCCTTGCGCATCTGAAGGAGTCTTTCCGAGCCAGCCGACTGTCTGCCTTACTGGGCCGGTCTCTGGTCTTCGAGCTGCGCTTTTATGAGCTGACTGCAGTGGCCTCTGTTGATCAGTCACATGAGAGGCTGTTTGCCCTCGCTGGGGAGGGCGGGAGGCCCCCCACGCTGGTGCTGATGTAATGGGACCAGCGACGGGCTCGCCAGCTCTGGGCACAGAAGCATGTGATGTGTAGTTTGTAGGAGCTGGCTTCCCATTTCTAGAAAAAAAAAATCACTGGTGTGTTGTTACTTCGGGCCTTAGTAAGAGGCTTCGATTTCTCGAGTAACATTGGAGAATTCAACTCAGACGTTCCAAGCAGTTGACTGCCAAGTTCCTGCAGGACGATATGCTTAGTGTCACCGTAGGTGACGAACAGGGCTGATGTGCTTGAGCTGATAATGTATGTTGTCTGCATTAATCGCAGATGTTCTGTTTACTGGCCCTCCTCCTTTTGAGGTTCGCCGAGTCCGCCCCTCCCCCCCATTGCTGGTTCTTATATCTTTAGTTACATTTTCTCTGAAACCATTTCTCAGCTTACGGTTTTTTCTTCCCTCTGGTCTGTCTTTGGGTAGCGTGAATATTTGCGTCCAGTTTAGTAACATTCATATATTTTGTGTCCCCATGAAGAGCCGTCTTAGAAACAAGAGAAATTCCCAGGACGACTCATTGATTCTGTCCTCACACCAGCATTGGGTCTAGGACCTCCGCCCAGATCTGACATAGGTGGGAGACAACTTGAAGTTCTTCCTGAGAATGGGTGGTTTATTTAAAACTCAGATTTTCAGTTTGGGATGCTGGTTAGCATGTCATCAGCTCAGGCATGTCTCTTGCCAACACAGTAGCCGTACTAAATAATTTTGGAATAAAATTTTTTTTTCTTTTGAGGAGCACACAATTTTGGCTGTTTTATACCAGCAACTTTGATTTCAGAAAAATAGCGATTACGATGTTATACCAAGTTACAGGACTGCTGACAGGGTGCTTTTTTGTATCTGGTACTTGGTTGTCCGGGCCCCACTGAAAACCTTTGTGCTTTGCTGATGGGGATTGTTCTGTGGAACATGTCAGATCTGTGACCTGGACAGAAATCAGCCTCTTAATAACTTGTAAGGAGGAGACAATAGAGGTTCCTAGGACAGCAAGCCTAGGACTGTCTTTGTATGCAACCCAGCATTGACCTTTAGGTAATGAGCTTGTTGAGAAATTGTGTGAGATCACTGGCTAGAGTAGAGTGGTGTCTGTGTAAACATGGACGTTACGGTGAGAAAGGAAGGCGTGTGGGATGTCTGCCCCCCACGTGGGGAATGTTACCTGGTGCCTCTGCTGAAGTTCTGGAGATGAACGGTTGTCGAACCCTCCAGGAATCTCTGTCCTTAACCAGCACGTCTCCTGGTTCCCTCCATAGCCTTCTTGGTCTGCAGTGTTGGTTTCAGTGTGGGATTTCCTCCATGCCCCAGATTGATCAAGGCGTGAGCTACACAGCAGTGGTTCTGAAACTTGACTGTGAGTAGAAGTGCCTGGAAAATGTTTAAAAGGCCTATTCCTCGCCCCCAGCCCCAGAGATGGTGACTCGGTAAGTCTGGCCTGAGAGCCTTGTGAATCGGTACTTTCAGGCCGCGTCTGGTGTTTCCAGAGCACGCGGTCCCCAGATGTTGCTTTGAGAAGCTCTCTTGGATTTCTTGGATGTGAGCTCACTTAAGAAAAACACCACGCAGACAGTGTAGTGATTGAAGTTATCAGGTGCTCCTTTGTCAGGGATCCCGAGCGTACGTGTAAGCTGACTGTGCTGCGTTTCCTGCAGGTCTCCATGACGACCGTGATCGTCGTCACCTCGTTCTACAGGCTTTTCATCCTCTAAGGTTATCACATTTCAAAGTCTGTTTCCTCCCTGTTGCTTTAGGTTAAAGACCGAGGTCCAGAAGCCACAAGAAGGTTTTTTAATTGGTTTTATTGGAGCATCAATCTGGGGGCAATCGTCTCGCTGGGAGGCATTGCCTACGTCCAGCAGAACGTGGGTTTTGTGACCGGCTATCTCATCCCAGCGGTCTGCATAGGCGTCGCCTTCCTGGTCTTCCTCTGCGGCCAGAGCGTCTTCATCACCAAACCTCCCGATGGCAGCGCGTTCACCTATGTGTTCAAGATCCTGGCATATTCGTGCCGGCCCCAGAAGCGAATCGGAGAGCAGAGTCACAGTGGGTGAGTGCCCAGTTGTGATCGTAGGCTCAGCCCAACACGACTTCCCCATCGCTGTGAATAAAGTGCTGGCTTCGGTCTGACGCAGGCTGATGTGCAGGGCTCCGGGCTAGTGGTTTAATGTCTCATGTCAGCTCGAGCATGTGCTGTGGCGTTACTGTCTTCCCGCAGCCGGACTCCAGAGCTCATACTTTGTGTGTAACTTCCACATTGAACTTGCTCTCACTGCTGATTTAGATGGACCTCTTGCTTGTAGAAAGATGAGGGAGGTAGGGGCGCCTGGGTGGCTCAGTGGGTTAAGCTTCTGCCTTCAGCTCAGGTTATGATCCTAGAGTCCTGGGATCGAGTCCCTCATTGGGCTCCTTGCACAGCAGGGAGCCTGCTTCTCCGTCTGCCTCCCCTCCCCCTGCTCATGGTGTGTCTGTGTGTGTGTGTGTGTGTGTCTCTGTCTCTCAAATAAATAAAATCGTTCAAAAATAAAAAAGGTGATGGAGGTAGAAACTGGCAGAGAGCATAGGAGAGAACTATACATACTGTCTACATTTCTCTTATATTCTAGAAGCTTGGAATTCATTTGAATGAGCAATAAAGCAGTTGCTTACTTTGTAGGTGCCCTTCTGTGCTCTAAGGTGTTGTTTCTCACTTGTGAGTCAACAGCTTTGTGTGTCAGCCTGGACCCCATCGTCCCATGGTCACTGCAACTGCTCTGTGACAGAAGGACATAATAATACTTTGAGATGCAGGTAGGGGAACTACATCATCCCCTTTGCGTGGGACTTTCCCTGTTTTAGCACCAAAAGCCCCATGGTCCTGAGGGTTTTAGCGCTGAAAGCCCCGTGTCCTGGGGAAGTCCCAGCAAACTGGGATGGATGGTAGGTCACCGTAGATGCACATTAACAAGGGCAAGTCTGGACCTTCGCCCATGAAGAGACCTCAGCAGTCCTGCTGTTTGTTGAAGCGTAATCTATGGGTAGTACAGTGCGTCCATCTTAGCTGTACAGTTCTGGAATTATGACCTGATTTAACCATGGAACCGCAATATGGTCAGGACAGAGAATATTTCCATCACCCCAGAGGAGTCCCAGGGACCCTTTGTGAGCGACTCCCTTGGAACATTGTGATCAAAGTAGGCAACTCTGAGGGGCAGTCCGTCCCGGAGCCAGACGCTGACCCCTCAGGGCAGCACACTCCTGGCTGGGTGGCTCTGACTGCCGGAAGGTTCTGCAGGCCGACTCCCAGACCTGCCTCCTTGTGGCTGGTCTGCTTGTGCCTTACGTGTGCCCTTGGAGTCACATGAATGTGCGATACTGGCGTCCCTGTGGGAGGTTTGAAGCTGTCCCAGAAGAGCTCTCGTGGCCCTGCTGCTGTGCTTCCCGCCAGTCTCCCAGCTGGTTCTGGAATCCGAAGGGCTCGGTGTGGCCTTCGGACTCCTCATTGAGCACTAGCCGTGGTGGCATCGCACTGGAGAAGGGGTAAAGATTCAGGCAGTGCTGCCTTCCTGCTGCAGTGCCAGAGCCTGACTTCAGGCAGAAGCGGGTTCACACCCAGATGCTTGTCCTGCGGGTTGGTTACTCATGAGCAACATGCTCTGCAGCTTCAGTGTGTTGGTGTGGGTGGCCCCTGGCAGACATTTCTGCAGGAGGACAGTCCTGCTTTGTGGACGGTGTTGGGTTCTGAATGCACAAGTGGCCTGACGAAAGAGACTGGGACTTACTGCCACTCGGGAGTCTGATTTCCCATTAGGTTTGGTTTGGGACAGCTGGCACAGTTAAGATAAAACGGGCTGTTTTGAGAGAGGTTGGCGGTCCAGAGCATTCTCAAATTACGCTTTCCTCGCGCTCAGAGTCCGAGCTCTGTGACCTTGGGCAGGTGAGTGACCTTGCCAAGCCTGCATTCCCGTTTTGTACAGTGGACAGGGGCTCACCTTACGCGGTCGTTGTGAGGCCTGAGAAGCTGATGTGTGCACAGCTGTGAGCTGTGGCGCGTGGCGCGTGAGGAGCGCCTGCTGGCGTCAAGGGCTCGGTCAGGATGCTCTTGCAAACGGTCGGGTCCAGAAATCTAGGGAAGTGCAGCATTGCCCAGCGCTTCTTCATCTGGCCCAGGCTGATCTGTGTCTCCAAGAGGTGAACGCTGACCTTACGTGACAAGTCCCCGTGTGTCTGTTCAGTTCATCAAACTGAGTGGGACGAGTTGTAAACCTTCCCTGAGGTACATACCTCGTTGAGTTGAGAGTCTGAGAATTCATAGCCCCTCTTCCTGGGAGAGAGCAGCCGTGTGTGCACACAGACCCGGGGAGTGGGGACACTTCTGGGTCCTGTCTGCGTTTCGTGTCATTTGTGTCTGTGGTTCCACAGTGAACCCTCATGTGTTGCAAAATAATACACTGACACCGTGTGTGAGTTAGGGAAGGCATCAGGTGCACGTCAACTTGGCACTTCTTTTCAGAATGTCTTGATGGTACAAGACGAGTAACGTGACCAGTAACGTTTCTGGGTGGTTCTCTGTGTAAACATGGGTTTCCTACTGGACACTGACATGTTTTTGGAGAAAAACACATAGGATGTAATGAATCACTGATAGCATCTGAAATAGGTACGCGAGAACTTTACATTTGCTTTTGCCCCCCTGCCCAAAATTGGAGAAGCTCTGAATATCTTCAAATAAAGTATGACAGTATCTTTAGAGTTTAGAGTTTCTCTCTAAGTGTAGTTTTCCTGGTTATTTTCCCTGCTAGATAAACCACGTATGATTAGGAGTAGTATCTTTCTGAATTCATTTGTGTATCTCTAGCACCAGGTAGAACAGACCTGGGCATGGGGTATGTGCTCAGTAAATGTTTGTTAAATTTAATTTAGCTGTCCTGTCCAAAATTCGGCTAAAATACTAAGTTACAGTTTTCAGTTTTTTGCTTCCTCCTCCTTTTCAGATGAAAAAATATCAATGTTTTATGAGACAAAAATGATTTAAAATAGTTGTAAATTGGGTAGGAGTTTATAAACTAGAAAGCATGCACTACCATTTTTTTCCTGAGTCCCAGAACGGAAGAAGGGAAGAATTCTTGAAGGTAATTATTCATGTCCTGGTATTTCTGGCTTTAGAGAATATTTGGCAAATACAACAGCTTTTTCTGTTTCATCCTTAAGAGTCTAGGAGCATGCCTCACCGTTAGAGTGTTTTGGAGCTGCCCACTGGGACCTGTTCATTTTATAAGTAGTGAGACTGTCCTAGAGTAAGTGAGCGCCACTGCTCACGCACAAGCTGTGATCGAAATGCCTGTGTTCTGACCCGACACACCTGAGCCTGAGCGTGAGGCCTGTGGCTGGCAGCGGAGGGGTGGGTGGCGTCCCTGGTACCTGGGTGTCGGGCTTTGTGGCCAAGGCCCTCTGGCTCAAATCCCAGACCTGTTCTCCAGCTTTGTTACCTTGGGCACATTCTTGCCCTCTCTGACTGGCTTCCTCCTTGGGGCAGTGGGGCCAGAACACTGTCCTGATGCCTCCTCCCAGGGTCGTGGTCCAGGGTAATGAGCAAGCACCCAGTGGACCCGGCTGCCTGTGACATCGTCACGTTACCATCAACACCGCAGCTCTCCCTCCCAGAACAGAGCCCTTCCTCCCGGGCCCTTTGTGGCTGCACTTTCTGTCAACAGCTTTAGTAGCAACATGGGTGTTGTGGTTGTGAAGTTTTAAAAGCCACCTGCTTCAAAATCCCCACGTCCAGCCTGTTTTTTTCCCCTCAAACGCTTGTCCAGCGATGTCGCTGGCGTAGTGGCCAGCCTTGTTCGGCGCGGGTGACAGGAGCTGGAGAAGAGACCGGTTACGTGGCAGGAGCCACAGGTGCCCTTTGCGGCGAGGCCCTTTACTGGCCATGTCGGCGCATGCGCACTGCTGGCCGCTGTGTTGGGTTTGCACAGCTAGTGAGCAGGAGGGCCGGAAAGCAGAGCAGTGCGGAAAGCCGGTTCCCCGCCTCCCTGCTTAATTTGTTGCCACGTACCTGATTTCTGGGGCTGGAAGAAAACTAACTCCTTCATTTTATCTCCCAAAGTGAAGGCCTTGGAGTCCTTCAGCACTCTTCTAAACACAGTCTGTTTGATTCATGTAAGAGGTCTCGCGGAGGGCCGTTTACGGAGGACACGGTGGAGGACGTGAAGGCCCTTGTGAAGATCATCCCCGTGTTCTTGGCTTTGATCCCCTACTGGACAGTGTATTTCCAAGTGAGTCGCGACTGTCGCGTAGCCATAGCTTTCTGTCCCCGCCTTCGCTTTGGGCGCCGCCAAAGTACAGGGGTGCTGTGCCCTCCTCTGCGGAGTCTCTGGGATCTTGGAATCCTGTTTCCAGTCGTGGAACTCACTCCTGCTGACTTAGGTGTCCCGAAACCCTTTCCATGAGAGACGCTAAGAGCGGGTGTGCTGCTGTTTTTCCAGGCCCCACCTTTGGGTTTAGTCTCCGTGACTTCTGTTCTAAAGTTGCTCTCCAGGGGACTTGTGCGATGACCAAAGAATCGCTCTGTTCTCAGACCCGAGCCCCATGCGCGTCCTCGCGGGGCGGCCTGGGGTGGGCGGCCCGCTGGAGAGCTCCCGCACCTAACGGCACCACTTTTCACACACAGATGCAGACAACGTACGTTCTGCAGAGTCTCCATTTGAAGATCCCGGCGATTTCCAGTATCGCAGCCACTCCTCATACGGTGAGAACTGCTGCGATGGTGCGAAAATGCTCCCCGGAGCTTACGTGAGAGGCGGTGCCTGCGGCCGGTCGCAGGTCCTTCTCAGGGCTCCGCGGCTGCTCCGACGGGCGGCATTGTCCTTGGAGTGGGACTTGCGCTTGCTTTAGGGACTGTTCTCCTGTGGGCCATGTTGTTTCCTGGATGGTTGACAGGTGCCAACCAAACGCTAATCTTCCTACCTGACTTTTTTCTCCGTGGATGCACAGAGGAACAAACCGCAAATGCACTTAGAAGTGAAAATCTTTTTCAGTTCCAGTAACTTGAAACTGAGACTTTTCCCTTAGGAGGTTATACTTTGTGGGAATGGACTTGGCTAGAATAAAGATTTTCTCAGTTAGGCATTAGTTGTGAGGTGAGCGACTCACTCCTCCCAAGAACTAACCTTGTCTCATGCATTTCGATTCCAGTTCCCGGCGGCCTGGCTGACCATGTTCGACGCAGTTCTCATCCTCCTGTTAATTCCCTTAAAGGATAAACTGGTTGATCCCATTCTGAGAAGAAATGGCTTGCTCCCATCATCCCTAAAAAGGATCGCCGTTGGAATGTTCTTTGTGATGTGTTCTGCCTTCGCTGCAGGTGGGGAGGCGTTTTGGTCTCATTTCTGGAGCTCGAAACTGGCCTTAGCCGCTGTGGGTGACTCGGGGCCCCGTGACGGGCCCTTGGTCACTCTGTGTAGGCGCACACTAAGAGGACGGGGGTTGGGTGTTGTGAACAGGTGTTGTTCGTCGCTTTCTGGTTTCCATGATGTGAAGGTTAAGATTTTCTCCATATGGTTCTGCTGTTTTTCTTCTAGAGCCGAAAGCAGTAAAGTGCTCTGGAAAGTGACTTCTGGCTTGGATCAGAGGAGGCTTGTTCTCTCCCTTCTGATTGAGATTGTGGGCGACGGTCGATCACTGAATGGATGAATTTTTATATCGGTCTCAAAGTCGTGGGTTCACCCTTGGCATTCTTAACTTAGGTCTGCAGTTGACTTTGGTCTGTCCCTGAAAAATCACGTGTGTGTTTTGTGAGGAGAAAGGTTTCCTCAAGTCCAGGTTCACGACCAGCACCCACGCCCAGAGAAGGAGGGGATGTGAGCCAGTGCCTGAAGCTCCCCAGGGCCGATGAGGGGAGTTTTCCTTTGGGGCCTCACTGTGTTTTCATGGTTCTTACATTCCAGACTGTTAGGTTGGAATATCTTCGCCGACATTCTCAGCTCGCTCTGGAGTTCTTCCTTCATTAATATTTGAAAATCATTGGACCATAAGACAGCTTAGTTACATAACAAGAACAGAAAAGCTGATCTCCCGAACCAACCATGTATCACCCACTGTTATGAGGAATTTAACGTTAAACACTGCTGAGACAGGATTTAATATTCTGCAGCAGGGTTTCCCAGCAGCCTCCGTGCGCCGTCCCCAGAGTGAACATATTGATATAGTACTTAATAGATATAAAGAAATGAGTCTCTAGGCTTAAGAAATCTATATTCCAGGGACTGGGACATTTTAGAAGACAATTACGTTTTCTCTTGATCAAATAGATAATTAAAGCGAGCTTGTGTCTGGATGAAGTGTTTCCTGTGTGCTCTGTTCATGGTTCTCTTTCTCCTCCAGTCCTGTGGCACAGGGGGATTCAGAGCAAATAAAAACTGAATTGCAGTGGGGCTGTGACTGCGGGTCTCATTAAGCAGGTCCAGAGATCGTCAGGGCTGTCTGGAGTAACTGCTGGCCGGGGATGCTGTCTGTCTGTCCTGCTTCTTTTGAGCAGCTGCTGCAGGCTCAGCTTTGGCCCCACAGCTCCCTTCTGTCCCTGTACCGGTGGGGCCCTCTCTGCACCACAGCCATGCTGGTCACATGCCAAGGAAGGGGGTCCTAGTTCTCTCCCTCTGGGAAGGGACGTATCCTTGGTTTTCAGGCATTTCCTGGGAGATTCTGGGTTGGGGCTCCTTTAATACCATCTTGTCTTTCGATTTGATTGCTGGCCGGGTAGCTTCTGGGGGCCGCTCCGAGAACCGGGGAGGGCATTCCTGTGGCCTCTGCACGTGTTTGTGTAGGAGGCAGCTGACAGCTGAGTGACTGCGGAGAGTGCCCCGTGGGCATGGCAGCCAGCGCTCACCAGTGCCAGTGGAGCGCTCGGTACTTCTCACCCAGCACTGGGCAGGATGGGCCGTGCTCTGCGAGGTCGCCTGTGCCTCGGGGTGGGGGCTTGGGGGAGCTGGTGTGGTCACACGGCCCTGAGGCTTTGGAGTTGGAGAGTCTCCCGTAGGAATAGGAACCACCCACTATACTCGTGTTATTATACTCGTGTTCTTAAACAGTGGAAAGGAGCCCCAGAGTCACTAGTTCAGGGATTTTAAGTCTCTGGTACTTGATTTAGGCACAGTTTATTAAATTAACAGTGGCACGAGCTTCACGCAGTTTTATTTCCAGCTCGAGCGAGCATTTAATTGGAACATTAGTAAGCTTTGAGTAGAGATTGAAATTCTCAGCAAGCCAACATTTTAATAGAAAAGAAACTTTTGCCTTTGAACTTACTCCTCTCCCCCATAATCAATCAATATCTTCCATCTAGAACCACGCCTGCTGGGAATGGTTCGTTCTTTCAGGTGTCTTGGACGAGAATCAGGCAGGTCCCAGGGGTTTCTCACGCATGCAGAAGGGAAAAGGAAGTGTGCTCGTTAGTTAGATTTCCTTTCCCCTTAAAGAACCGTGTGCCCCTGGAAGGACCGTGTGCGTACAGTCCTGGGTTACTGGAGCGGCAGATGCTCGCTGGAGGGAAGGCGAACTCGGAAGCATAAAGAAGGAAATAAAAACCAGCCGTGATTGCCCTAGAGGCGGTCAGCATTACGGCGGTGTGAACCTGCCTGGTCTTGTGTGTCTGCCCACACCCCCTCTGTGTTTTTGCGAGAACGGGATCCCGTTGCGCAAGCCTGATGGAGAAAGTACATGTCAGAAAAACCCGAGGAGCATAGTAAAAGCCGTGTGTGTTACATGTAAGGAGGGAAAATCGTAGATACAGAGGAGCCGTCGCACGCGTGCGCACACACACTCATTCACTGGTCGTTCCACCACCTTCAGAAATCCGTGGTTACCGCTCTGCGGGCGCTGGGAAGATTACAGATATGATACATGGTAGATATGTTGTATTTCCTTTGCCCCCTTTGAAGACCAACCCTGAAGCATCGTGACTGTCCTTCCCCGTCAGCCGTTCCTCTGCAGTCCTCTGTGGTTGGGGCTTGGGGTGCCTGGGAGCATGACTGGGCATTCCTGTGGGGGGTTTCTGCAAGTGTTAGCAGGGCGTCCCTTTAAGGCTTCGGATGAGCTGACAGAGTTCCCTTACAGGAAGCCTGTGACTCTGCCCTCATTCCAGCCATGGGGCCCACCCATCCCCATGCAGGCCCCTCCATACCTTTGGTGGTGTTGTGGGTGCTGGTCAGCACGGGCGTAGGCGGGACTCTGTGCGCGGCCTTCGGGGCCCGAGAGCACCTGAAGTTGGGGTAGAGCCTGCCGAGAGCCTTTCCCTGGCTCATATCTGGCATTAGTTAAGCGCAGGTCCACAGCACGTTTTCAAAAATTAGTATGACATAGTCGATCTGTGGTCATGACAGACGCACGGAGAAGAGCCGGGGAGCCCCCAGAGCATCCTAACCCCCCCCTTCCAGGGTGACCGCGTGATGTCTTCCAAGGACATTTGCTGTTACAGCTAAGTATGTCCTTTTTTAAAGAGAAATGAAACCGACTATTCACAGCTTATGACTTAACTGTTCCTGATTCTGTTTTTCTATGTGAATTACACATTTAAATCACGGTGTTTAACAGCTAAACGGGCTGTGTTAAATACACCATCAGTTCTTCGACCGGTCCTCTCGGTGCGGGTGGTGGCTCACTCCAGTCTGTCCGCGCGCCAGCCCGTCTGCGTGTCTGCCTTGGCTTTCTGTCACCTTGGCTTTCTGTCCCCTCGGTGGAAGGTGTTCAGGCCACGGGCGTGAGTTCCGCTGCCAGCTCTCTTGTCAGTGCTCGTTACTTTCTCTGCGAATCTCTTCCCTGAAGGATTTAAACAAGGAACGGCTTTGTTTGGAGGCATGTCACCGTGATGACGATTCCCCCCGTTATCGGTCCCCACATTCTGTGTGCGGTTAGGCCCTGTGGCATTTTGTGCCGGGGTTTTCTTGTTCGTGGTGACATGCAGTCAGACCTTTCATTGGAGGAATATTCTTTCTAGTAACTTCCTGTTTTCTTGAACTTTATTTACGGTATTTTGCAGTTTTACGCATGTTTTGTTTTAGGTGCTGTGCATTTTGTACTAGGTTTATTCCTAACCCCTTGGTGTATTTTTGCTCACTCCCATAAGGAATTTTTTAAAAAATTCTGAGTTCAAATGAATTCTTTTCGAACGGTCAGTTGTTTTCTTCAGACAGCATGGGTTCCCTTCCTGCCGGCAGGTGACTCTCCCTCCCTGCCTCTCTGGTGGGCGGTGTTGGCGGGACTTTGGGTTAGTGCTGGGAGAGCTGGCGGTTGTGGAGAGCCCGCCGCCCCCTGGGCTCTGACAGGCGCCTTCAGGGCAGCTCCCCGAAGCTTAGAACTGGAGTTTGAGATGCATATTCACGGTGATGCTAAATTTCTAACCTTTATTTCAAGGTTACTGGGTCTGTTTTGGTTTCCAAGAGGATTGCATTCCCCCCCACCCCAGCCCCATCTCCGGATATTGATGGTTTAGTTTTATTAAATTCTTAATGCTCGGGCCTCCTGGGTGGCTCAGTGGGTTAAGCCTCTGCCTTCGGCTCAGGTCATGATCCCAGAGTCCTGGGATTGAGCCCCGCATTGGGCTCTCTGCTCAGCGGGAAGCCTGCTTCCCTCTCTCTCTGCCTGCTGCTCTGCCTACATGAGATCTCTCTTTCTGTCAAATAAATAAATAAAATCTTAAAAAAAAAAATTCTTAATGCTCCTTACTGCATTTCTGAAACAAATGAGTCTGTCCAGAGGGCAGCCTGTGGTGGTCTGCGTTCCTCCACCGCTAGCTGACAGCGGTCTGCGGTCTGCGGTCTGACGTTGGGTCGTATGGCTTCAGAAAGGGAGTTGGTAGACCCCCAGTTTCTGTGGGCAGGAGAGTATCACACCGGGGGAATTTCTGTGCTCCCAGGGGAGTTCAGGTCTTTGCCTTGAAAATCACATGAGCCTGTTACTCTCTCAGGAGAAATGGGATGATATTTTCACCTTTTCCTCAATTTTGTGCAGATTGTGTTTTCTCTTGAAACACTTAAGTGTTTTTTTTTTTTTTTTTAAATGTCCTGAGTAAACTGTTCGCTTTATTGAGTTTTAGAAAAATTATTGGACTGGAGATAAAAATTACCTTTTCCATAAATGTGTTTCCTTCCTCTTTTCCAGTTTCGTGTATTTATGTGCCTTTTTTTTTTTTTTAAATCAGGCTTGCCAGAACTGTGTGTATGTGATGATTTTTCCGTAGAAGTATGTCTTGAATTTATCAATTTGACTTTCTCTGTGTTTTCTAACAACAGAGAATAAGACAGGATTTCTCTCTATTACCTTGGGTTGGTTTTGTGATTTTCTCTCTCATGAGTTACTCCAGCCTTCGTTTACTTTCACTTTTTCTTCCCCATTTAATAGTGAAAACTGTGGAATGGCATGGATTTGCCTATCACTGACACTTTGGCAGGTCTCATGTGCTTGGATTTGTTGTAATTTTGTCGTCTTCTAAGGCACCTGAACCTGCGTTTTACTTCGTGACCCCGTGTGATTCGGAGAGCGGTTTTCCTCGTACTGAGGCTGATCTGTGGGTCAGTGGTGTCTCGTCTTACTGTGGAGTTGGGAGAGGTCATGGCTTCACAACTCCCGCCTTTGGACTGCAGGCCCTCCTTTCTGGCCTGGTGGCACTTTCTGGATGTTCATAGGGAGCTGAGCAGGATAGATCCTCTGTTGGAGCTCCATGGGCTGTTTTATCCGACACGTTCTAGCGGGAGCCCCGACCTGTGCAGTCTGCGAGGGGCGCCGGAGCCCTGGGGATGAGCGCGCGGCCCAGGAGCGAGTGGCGGTCTGCGCATCGTCTGCTGAATGGGCCCGGGTCCTGCCACACCCTCTGTCAAACACCGTGTGGGTCTCCCAGTGCGACCCCACGAGTACACACCTTTGTGTCCCCGACCCGTTCACTGAGTCCTGAGCTGTGGGTCGTGGCCATGGGGGCCAGGGTTTGCCTTTGGGCCTCCGGATGGCAACCCTCGCACCAAGCGAAGCCTCGTGGTTTTTGTCCACTTGTTCGGCTGACAGGGACTTGGAGAGCCGTGTGTCTGTCACGGTGTCACTGTGTTTCTGTCTTCTCTGGGGTTAACTGTGTCCCCTGGGGGAGAAGCGGTCCCGAGCCCGCGCCTGCAGCCAGATTTTTGTGCTGTTCCCCTTTCCAGAGCGTGGCGCGTCCGTCTCTCCGTTCGGGGAGGATCGTGCCAGTGTGTCTGTGACACTGTCGGTGCAGCGAGCACGTGTGAAATGGAGCGCATCTGTGATGTCCTGTGGGCTTCTCTTGAATCTTTTTCTCTGCTCGTGTCATGTGGCGTCACCTCGTCCTCTGCTGGTGACTGCAGGCCATCTGTTGGCCGGTCCTTCCCCTCCCCGCCCCCCGCCGTGCTGGTACGCCTTCCACCCTCGTCCTACCCACACCCACGGGTTTGCTTTCCTCTGACCTCTGCAGAGCCGTGGGTCACTGAGGAGTGTGCTGTGTCGGCCATTACGGCCCCTAACGTCACGCTCGTGTGGGTGCTGCCTTGTTAGTTCCCTGCTGTTACCTCCTGACGTCCTGCGCGGGGCCTAGGTGCTGGTGACTCCCTTCCTCCATGAGCAGCTTCTGCGAACAGCGCTCCATGCCGCTGCCGTCTGCGTGGTCGGCCACGCGCAGCACACCTCCGGATCCTTCCTGACTCACCACAGGAGAGCCCTCCTCCTTCACGAGGCTCTCCCCCTGGCCTCGTCCTCTGTGTCCCCTGGCCAGCACCTCTGTTTCAGCCTCTCCCCTGATCTGCACAGCGTGCGTGTTGCTGGTAAGACCACGGAGCAGGTCTTGTCCCCATTGGCACCCCCAGGCCCCGCACGCAGGCACACATGTCCTCTCACCAGTCCAGCCTTCCGTGTGGAGAAGAGTGTTCTCTCCAGCTTCAGTTTGCAGCCCTCAGGACGGGCTGAGAGAGTCCTTCCTGCAGACCGAGCTGCACTAGAATTGCCCAGAACCTTCCAGCTGCATGCTGGTGGCTGGTGCGGTGACCTTGCAGTGTGAGGGGAACCTCTGCTGACCCAGAGGAAGCCACTCACACTTTGTCCCATGCCCAGAGGACAGCTGTCCCTTGTGGACAAGACCCTTCATGCCACTACTAGATTCCTGGCAGAGAGAGCCACGGGCCCTGACATGCCTCAGAGGCCCCATCCAGAGCAGCCAGGAGCCCCAGGCAGATGGCTCTGCACACCCGGTCTGCTCCCGCACTTTCTGCTAGAAGCCAGGGTGCGGAGGCGGAGGGATCGGGGTCCCCTCCACGCACCTCCAGGGAGGGGATGCAGGTCTTTCTGACGGAGGTGAGCCAGAGGCCTGTCCTTACCGTGCTCCTTTGATAAGTGCTCTCCTGGTTGGACATTCCACGTGACCTGTAGTTTGGGGGCCGATTCCAGAATTCGTCTTCCCCGTCCTGTTACTGGTAGCCTGGACCTTCTCATTCTCAGGTTTCTCTCAGACAGCTGACCTTCCTCGTTCTCACGCTTTTAAATACATGTGCGCTTGCATAAATATTAAGTACTCCGGCCCATTATGCCATTCACAGAGTTCTTTAGGAACAAGACCGGCGACCGCTCTGACCTAAGAACTCGCTGCTGCGCTGTTGCCTCTCCGCTGTACTCTGAGCGGCCTGTGCCTTCCTCACAAGGAGGGGCTGCTTGGGCGCTTGCTCGTTTCCCTGTGCGGTTTTGTTGCCCTCGTTGCCCTTGACAAGTGACCAGTAACGGAGTGAGATTGAGGGCTGCTGAGCGTGCAGGCTGTTCGCCGGGGTTCGGCGGGGAGACAGGCCTCGTCAGCCGTGGCCAGGGCTGTAGGCTAATGCCCGGAAGTCAGCGGGCCAGCCTCAGTCCCTTAGCACAGCGAGAAAGACGTCTCGGAACTCAGTGCCCCCGACGAGTGGGTGCATAATTACGCTCCTCACCGTAGGCGGGTAACAGAAGGCGATCGGGACGGCGGCGATTGGGGGCCGTCCCGACGCTGGGGCAAACCCCGTGTGGGCAGCGTCCGTGGTGTGAGGTGGTGTGAAGACCCGCCGGAAGGGGTCTGGTGGGATCAGTGTTGGAGTAACTGTTGAGGAAGTCGCGAGTGTGCGGTCTTTTAGGTCGGGCGTTTCCGGGGGCGCTGGGCCACACCCTCCACTTTTTCGAGTAGTCAGTAAGCATCTTGCCGCAAGCCTGTAGTGTTTTAGTTTAATTGCAAACGTTAATGAGTAAGTGTTCTATTAACCTCCTTATGAATTCTAGGAATTTTGGAGAGCAAAAGGCTGGACCTTGTCAAAGAGAAAACCATCAATCAGACCATCGGAAAAGTCGTGTATTATGCCGCTGACCTGCCGATATGGTGGCAGGTGCCACAGTACGTGCTGATTGGTGTCAGTGAGATATTCGCCAGCATAGCAGGTGGGCCTTCTCTCGCGCGGGTCTGGGGCTGGCGTGGTGCGGAGGGGACGGGGCAGGATGTCTCCCTGTGCGCTCTGTTAGAACGCACGGAGACACAGGGACCCGTGTTTCACGGCAGCAGCTGTGGTCTTGAATGTGAGTCGGTAAGTACGTGGTACCATGGCTGAGGCTCTTGTTTCAGGGGTAGAAACGGGGCTCCCAGAGACATTTCTATGGCTCATCCACTACCGTGGAGGTGCCACAGAGAGAGAGGGAGGAAGAGGCCGTGGGTGGTTCCTCCCAGGTTGGATACTTCCTAACCATGGCTCTGTGGTTCTGCCGTGGCGGCCCAGGCACTAGCCACAGCCAGAGCTCTGGGTGTGTCTGCTTTATGAAGGAGGCAAACCTGTTCACACAGTCCTCGCTCCTCCCATGAGCCGTGTGCTGTGGGGTGCGGACAGGCACATTGTGTGCAGACCAGTTCCATGCTGCTGGAAGGGAGGGACGGAATTAATGATGACCAGAGCCCGGATCGATTGTGGGGGATTGTGGTTCCCACCGCACCTGTCACCAGACTCCACAGCGTGTGCTCATGACTCTGGAGGGTGAACAGAGTGGTCCTGCATTTGGAATACGCTGTAAATCTCCACGTGGGCTTGTTATAAAAACCTGAATTTATAGGTGTCTCATTGAGATTATCTTAAGATGTGTCGCCTTTAAGATGGAAGTCTTACACAGAATCTGCATTTTAGTCTGTATGTGTTGTTCATACCCTCCTTAGTTGAGAACAGAGAAGTTTGCTTTTTTAACCATAGAGATCAGTGCAGGAGCCAACACGTCAGACGTCACTGTGACGTGGAAGAGCAAGGACTTGACCTTTTGCTCGGTGACTGACTTTCAGGACTCTCGTGGTGAATAGAAAGGGCCCCTGATTTCTTGACCTTGTGTTAAATACAGTCTTCAGAGCAGGGAAGGGAGCTGCCCTGCTCATCCGAGTCCCCACATGGGCCCTGTGCTAACCCTGCTACGTTCAGGCAGGGGCAGTGTCAGCCCCGCTCTCACGGAAACAACCTCTTCTTTCTGCAGGTCTCGAGTTCGCCTACTCGGCCGCCCCCAAGTCCATGCAGAGTGCCATAATGGGCTTGTTCTTCTTCTTCTCCGGTGTCGGCTCATTCGTGGGCTCCGGGCTGTTGGAGCTGGTGTCCGTCAGAGCCATCGGCTGGATGAGCAACCACACAGACTTCGGTAAGGGCCGCGCCGCTGTTTGAACATGGCTACTGGCAGAACCCGCGCTCGGGCTGCGGCGGGTGGTTGTGTTAGCGGAGGACGCGGGCTCGGGCTGCGTGTGGTCGCAGTAGTGGAGCTCGGCCACCCAGGAGCTGCCTGAGACCCCGCCCCGCCTGGTCCCCTGGGTCCTTGTGTGTTGGCCGGGCGCAGCTAAGCCTCTGTCTGGGTCTGCGGGGCTGCTGCTGCTTCCTCGGAATTCCACGGATCAGTCCAGTCCGTGTCACCAAGTTGTCTCCATTCACCTGGGTCTGTGTGTTTGTGTTTGTGTGTGTGTTGTTTCTCTTTCCTGACCGCACTTCTACATTTTCTGCTGTTAAAGACGCGGATAGATAGTAAGTTCCTTTCTTGAGTCACAGCCGTGACTCGTGACTGTCAGGAGGGGATTTTACCGCTGATGCCAGTAGGGGGCATGGTGGGGCGCTGAGCAGAATCACTTACCGAAGAGAGTTTTGGTGTTCCCAGATTTATGGTAGCTTTTTTTTTTTTTTTTAAAGATTTTATTTATTTATTTGTCAGAGAGAGAGAGGGAGAGAGAGCGAGCACAGGCAGACAGAATGGCAGGCAGAGGCAGAGGGAGAAGCAGGCTCCCTGATGAGCAAGGAACCCGATGTGGAACTCGATCCCAGGACGCTGGGATCATGACCTGAGCCGAAGGCAGCTGCTTAACCACCTGAGCCACCCAGGCGTTCCGATTTATGGTAGCTTTTAACTGGGCACAGGAGTTGAAGGCTTTCCTCTTCTGTCCGGCCTGTGAAAACTGCCTTCTTACTTGTTCTTGTTTAGTCTGCGGCTTTTCCGTGGGTCCAGGGCCCTTAGCCACTTTGGGTCCTAAACCCCCTTGGAACTCTGATGAGAGCCTGGGGACCTGCCCTGGGAAAATACACAATTCCAAAGACCCTTCCCTGACTAAGTTAACATTCCCATCGTGAGGGGTGAGTTCCGGCTTGTGGAGTCCCAGGGTGATTTCCAGAAACCACAGCCGCTCCTGTGGCCCCGGGAGCCCCGGCCTCGCTGTGGTCCGGCTGTGGGAGCGTCCCCAGGGCTGGCTCAGAGGTCGGGCTAGGGCTTTGCTGTTGATCCCCGGGCCCCTGGGCGGGTGAGCGGCGGTGGAGCGCGCAGCAGGTGCGCGGTGGCTTCCGGGAATTCTCACAGGTTCTTGGTGTCCCGTGATCTGTTTTTCTGTGCATGGGTGGACCTTCTACAGACAAATCCTTGATGCAGAGAGCAAAACCCTGTTGATTCTTCCGTTTCTTTGTCTTACTTTTCAGCATATTTTGAAGGATTGGTTGTTTTGATGATCTCGATTGATTGCTTTCCAGTGATTTCATCCCCTTGTCACTGATTATCTTCAACTTTACCATCATTCGCCCTTTATTTCTGACCGTAGCTTCCAGCCCCCCACTGTGAAGCTTGTCTCCAGTCCTGGTGCCCAGCTTAGAGCTGGATCCTGTGTGCCCGTGTCCTTTTCAGAGCGGTGTGTCTTGGGACAGCCCCACACCATGTCTAGTGCTGTCCTTATTTTCACACCAGTAAGGAGAGTTTCAGCGAGCTGTGGCCACAGCCCCCAAGACCCCTGCAGCCTGGTTGGCAAGGAGGGGATGTGGATGTGGGAAACGCACAGTGAGCCAGGCAGCTCCCTCCCAGCGCCCTCCCACCTGGGGATTTGGGGAGAGAATGGGACCAGGTAATCCCCAGCATACGCGCGCCAGTAAAATCTGGCAGTAGAGGGAGCGGCAGGTGTTGTCCTGGGCGCCGTCTGTGCTTTTCCTGGCTCCCTGCTGCCCCAGTCCTTCCTTTCTGCACTTGTGTTCAGGCTGGTGGTGAAGCAGCGGCCTTGAGCTCGCGTAGCCTCTCACGATCGACGCACGGAGTGGCTCCCTGTGTAGTTACAGGACTGCAGGATGGAGGTGGAGCCCGGCACTCGCTCCTCTGCTCCCTTCCCAGCCTGTTCTCCCGGTTGGCTGGTGCTTGACGTCCTCGTCATCGTCCTCATCATCGTTGCGTAGATCCGGGATGACTTAGGCTGTGAAGCACACCGATCTTTTTTTTTAAGGGTTTTTTTGTTTTATTTTGTTTTGTTTTTGACAGAGAAAGAGAGAGAAAGAGATGTCACACATAGAGAGGCAGGCAGAGAGAGAGAGGAGGAAGCAGGCTCCCCGCTGAGCAGAGAGCCCAATGCGGGGCTCGATCCCAGGACCCTGGGATCATGACCCGAGCTGAAGGCAGAGGCTTAACCCACTGAGCCACACAGATGCCCCAGGGTTTGTTTCTTTTTTGTTTTGTTTTGTTTTTAGATTTGTTTTAGAGAGAACATGCATGAGCAGGGGGAGGGACAGAGAGAGAGAGAATCCCCAGGCAGACTCCACGCTGAGTGGGGAGCCCGAGACGGGCCCAGTCCCGCCACCCTGAGAGCATGACCTGAGCTGACTGAGGTCAGTAGTAGGATGCTCCGAAGACTGAGCGCGGCTGGTGTGTACGATGTGCAGCGCGCGTCTTGGAAGGTATTGAATCCGGATCAGGATGCGGTCCGTTTCGGGAGGCTGCCCTGGGCCTGCCCGGTCAGTCCACTCACCGGCCCGCTGGCTGCTCGCTGCTGTGACGCTGGGCACCACGGACTCCTCCTCTTGGCTGTGGTCTGTGCTCTCCGGCTCCGTTCCGCACGTGGGTCTGGTGCCATCCCCTGCAGTCTGTTCTCTGACCCTGAAGAGAAGCCGGGTGGCGAGTCACTCACGACTCACTGGTCTGTTCTGCTCTCGCTGGGTGTTGGTGATGTTGCAGGTGTGAGGCTGTCGTGAGTGAAGCAGCTGGCGACCTTCTCGCCCGTATGTCTCGGGGGACCTGTGAGCTCATTTCTCCAGGGCCCAGGAGCCTGTCTTGTCCAGTCCAACCTCCCAGAGTTCACCGTCTTCGGGGGTCATTGTCCTTCGGTTTGCGATGAGGCCCAAGAAGTACAGGGTGATGGTGGGCGGCAGACAGGTCTCTGAATGCCCTTCCTGACCCCACACAGGCTGACCCTAGCCGGGAATACTCGTTCTCTTGGTGTGCCAGCTTTGAGCTTCGGAAGTTTTAATACTTATTTACATCTTCACTTGAGAGGGAGAGTGAGCGCGTGCCTGAGGGAGACACAGGCTCCCCGCCGAGCAGGGAGCCCCAAGTGTGGCTCGATCCTGGGATGGTGACCTGAGCTGCAGACGGACTCTCAGCCGACTGAGCCCCCAGGGCGCCTGCGCTTCGGAAGTTTGGAGTGACTCCTTAATTTGGGGGCTCCTGTTTCAGTTTTAGCACGTGGAATAACATCATTGGGGTCCCACCAGCAAGCCTGCGCAGCACCGAGGAGCTAAGACAGCAAGTGGCGACAGCAAAGCCCGGGCTCCGGGGGGGCTGTGTGGGCCTCCCAGTACCTGGGACGGAGCCCGGCACACTGTAGGGGCTCAGTCACTGTCCTGACTACCGTGTTGACGGTAGGAATGCAGGTGCTACCAGATCCCTTCCCAGGCGACGCATGGGGGCAGCCCTTGTCTTCTGCAGCCCACCCGAGCGCTTCGTTCGGATCTGGCTCTGTCTGTCGTTCTTGTGGGCAGAGTACAAGCGCCGTGAGGCACTGAGTCAGTGAGTGTGTTTCAGGCACAGGGCAAGTTCCAGAACATCCCAACCTCACAACCCAGCGTCAGACGAACAGGAACGCCCAGTTCTGATAAGTGAATCAGAGAGCTGCTTCTGATGTGCATGAGCGAGGGAGGCTCTGGAGACGCCGTGGAGCGAGTACGTCTTTGCTCATTTGTCGAGAAATGTGTCTGCCTTTTCAGTGGGTGACAGATGGTGGACATGGTAGGACACCTGTGGGCCGTGGCGACGGGGTCAGGCTTTTTAGGGAGCCCAGGGTGACGTGTGTGAGCGTCTCTGGATGTTTTGGTGCAAACATTGTGTTCTGCACACACACTTCTCCACACGGAGCGGTGGCGGTCAGTGGTGGCTGGAAACTCCAGCGGAAAGACTCTCGCTACAGACTTGACGGTCCTGGACCCATGAGGACCATGGGGTGGTCCCAGGCGGGCGATGGTGACGCCTTTGTGCATCCCAGGACCTGTGTGGGGTGCCCTGTGTGCACACGCTCTGCTCACTGCTGTTGCCCCCATTTCACGGGGGTCGGGGGGCAGCCCAGCCCAGACATGGCAGGCCACTTGGCTTTGAGCTGCATTGGCTGAGCTTCAGGGTCTGTCTGGAACCTCTTCAGCCTGGGTGGGGTGTGTTGGGAACAGAACGGGGCAGCACGTGCGAAAGGCCATGCTCAGTGATTGGGGCAAAGCTGAACGTCAGCTACGTTAGCTGTTGGGACGGAGGATGCACCCGTGTCACCTTGAGGATGCTAAAACCTGAATCTTTTTGGAGAAAATTTTAAAACCCTGTGTTAAAAGACTGTACGTCGAATGTCTGTCAGCCGTCCGCCCTGGCTTGTGACGGGCACCGCCGCGTGGGAGGGCGCTTGCTGTCCAGGAACTGCTGCCCGGCACAGGACACGCGCAGCTCCTAGGCGGATGCGGTGTCCGGGCGGGCCCGCGGTGTGGCGTGTGGCATTGATGAGTGTCCCGGTTCTAGACCCGAGCTGTGGAGAGCGTCACCTTACCATCGGCCTGCGGGTGGGTCCTCAGGACAGCTGTGTGCACTGGGTCAGCCCGCAGCCCCCCGGGGAAGAGCACCGCGGAGAAAGACCGGGAGGAAACACCACCCCATCCGGTATCGCTTCGGGGGCGGCACAGGGCCATAGTGGGGTTGTTTGTTCCCTTTCCCCAAACTTTCTGTACTGGAAGAATTTAAGGAAAAAAAGACTTTCTCAACATTTTTTTATTTTAGCCAGTGGACACTCCCCTCGTTCACCTCGGACGGTTCCCTCCAGCCCACAGGGTGGATTCTCAGGAGCCCTGGTCTGAAATAGGTCTTGTTGCTGTGCTTCCCGGGCCAGGCGCTGTGGCATCATCCTCCCATCGACCAGTGGGGAGACTTTTGCGGGGGCGGGGGCGTTCACGCCAGAGACCCCGGTCCTGAGCCTGTGGTAGAGACAACGCTGGCTTCAGAGCAGCATTTGTGGCGGTTGAAGAAGCAAAGTACTTACGTATTTTGAATAATAGAGATAAGATTTTCCCCTCGTCCTTCTTGTTGTTGTTCTTCTTTTTTTAATAACCACAGTAAAGATCACCGTGACCTTGCTAGGAACCGAACTTAGTAGCTGAGCTCTTGAACAGTCCCTAAGTGCGGCTGACGAACTTCCTTCTCCCTCTTTCTCCGCAGGCAATATTAACGGTTGCCATCTGAACTATTACTTCTTTCTTCTGGCCGCGATTCAGGGAGCCACCCTCCTGCTTTTCCTGATCGTTTCTGTGCGGTACGACCGGCAGCGCTCGCGAGCCAACGGGGCGGCTGCCAGTAGGAGGACCTGACGTCCCGAGGCCACGGCCCGGACTGCAGGCGGCCACGTGCTGAGCAGAGGAAGCTTCTCCGACTTCCTAACCACGTGCGTGGTCCCTGGATTGCGTCTCCTCTTCTCCCAGATGAGCTGGGTAAGTGCCTTTCCTTGGTCCCCCTCCCGGAGCAGACGCAGGCTCCTCATCTGGACCACTGGGAGCCACAGGGACGGAAGCTCTCGGCCGAGCCAATGGGGCCTCGGGAGACTGCGTGTGTGTCCGTCGGCGTCCTGGTGTGTTTCCTCCCTGTAGACCGAATGAGCTCACTTTGTTTTCCTTTTTGATTAACGCACGTCTGCTTGTCCCGAGGAATGGGAGGGCTTTTTAAGAGGTGAAAGTCCAATGCTGCAAAGATGTTGTGTGAAGGTCATGTTGACGGTTTCTGTCGTGAGATGTGGGTCCCGCCGTTGCCCGGCTCGTCGGTGCGGGCCAGTAGTGAACCTGTTGTGTCTGCTGCTTCAGAAACAACTTCTCTTTTCAGCCATTGACGTCGAATTTTTTTCTTAAGAAAGAACTCGCATCAGGAAATATTTAAGACTGTGTGTCCTATCTCAAGCTACAAAACAACGTACAGGGTATTTGAAACCTCGCCTGGTCTGTGTTTCTGGATCACTTCCTTCTGGACACCACTGAGGTTGAAGACCAGTCGTGGAGGACCGTTAGGGACACGTGACTAGGAGCAGAGTCTGTGGCATTTGAGACCGTTGGCAGTATTCCACGTTACCTGTGGACTTGAGCTGTGCGGCGTCACCGGCTCCGGGATTGTTCTGGTACTGGATGTGGGGTTGCTAATGTTGTGAAATAAACTGTTCTGTTTGTTGCTGTATTTTTGGTGTAACGTTATTACAAAAGCCCCACAAATATGAAGCCCATTGACTGTTCATGGGGTTCGTACACCGCCACAGGGGAGGTGCAGTTTCCCGAGTCAGCAGGTGACAGAATTAGTGAAATCACTTGCTCTGTCACAGCTCTTTGATTTTTCCCAGATAGTGATTCTTGCGCCTGCTCTGTATTAAGGCAGTTTTACTAATGGAGGAAGAAAATGAACACAAAACCCCTGCACTGTCGTTTGTCTGTAATACACAAAATGGAAAGCTACAGGGAGATCCCGTGACGGCTGGAGTTCTGGCAGAGCGAGACAGACGACTGTTCTCAGTGGGGCTGACGCTGTGAGTTTGGGCTCAAGCACCGATCTCACAAATACAGATTCTGCTAGAGGTATAATTTATGTCTTCAGGATGGACTGAAAACTGTTCACCTGTGCTGTGAAAATTACATCCTCTCTGTTGAAGGAAGTAGTGGGGAAAGGGAAAAAGAAGGTCGAATGATGGGGCCAGGCTGTGTCCGCCTCGTGCACCTTGCAGTGTTCACGCCCTGGCACGGGGAGGCGGGGCACGGGGCACCCTCCCGGGGGTGTCCCCAGATCTCTGCAGGCACCGTCCAGGAAAGTCTCCCAAGTTCGTTGGAGGACTGGCAGGTCAGAGTGACAGCTGTGTCCTTTTCCAGCTGAACTTGGGTTTGTGGGTGATGGCGTTCACCCCGTGGCACGAAGCCATCGTCGAATACCACTATCCAGTCGCAGGAGGCCGTCGGGCATGGTGGGCCCGCCCTGAGGGCTTGCTGAGTCCGCGGCTTGCGTCGGCCTTGTGCTCTGCTGGGAGAGCTCCCGCCTGCCTTCTCTGTTGGAGGACGACAGGACGGGGCTCTTTATCTCCCCCCAGTATCACAGGCGGATCCAAAGAGCAGGTTTTAAGAGGACGGAGCTTTCCCACATGAGCTTGTGGGAGCAGGACCTTGGTCTGGTTTCAGGGAGACCTGTGAAGCTTATATGGCGCCGTCCCTATGTCCCGCTGTTTCTCTGGGACCCGGGGAGTGGTGGGGGGTGCCTGCTGGAACGTCCCCCATCTCACCAGGGGGGGATTGAGATGCCCCTTGGTGGCAGGTGGGGACACATTACCCTCTGTGTGTGATGTCACACAGTTTCAAAACTCCACCAGGCTCCGGTGGCTTCCAGATGCTCGGTAACGCGGCACGGATGCTCCCCAGCGCTCCCAAAGTGTTGTGCTTGGTACAGGACGGCCCCGTCACATGGAAATGAGAGCACGTGAAAGAGGAACAAAGTGCTGTCATAACCCGAAGGTGACTCACTGTCGTTGAAACGGGCCAGATACTTTATGGGCACTTCCGAGTTGAACGAAGTCAGTGCAGGAGTCGCTTGAGAACATTTGTCGTAACAACTCAGTCTTACAGAAACGGGGCCTTTTCTAGGAAATGGGATGTAAAAAGTGCCTGATTCAAATCGAGCACGTGAAATAAAGGAGAAACACAAAATAGAAAGCAAAGGGGGAAAAGAGGCCCACGAGGCAATGCTGCGTAACTCTGGAAAATCAGCGTTTACCGATCTCTGTATGGGCCGCAAGCACAGGGCTCCCTGGAAGCAAGACCAGTGTGGTGCTGGGGAGGGCGTCGCTCTCGTCCTACTGACTGGACCCAGCCCCCCAAACCAGCACCGCACGGGGAGCAGCTGAGTCACAGGCTCTGATGGGGGTGGGGGGGACCCGGCAGGACCCCCCTTGTTTCTCCTCTGGCCGTGCTGATTTTCCAGAGTTTTGAATCCAGCAAAATGGGTCTACTAAGGAGCCAAGGAGGTGGCAGACTGCCTGGTGTTTTCAAGAAACACAGGGTCAGGCCCTTGACCTGGAGGACTCCTGTGGTCAGGGCTGAGCTGGATAGACAGGTCTAGGACCGGTCACTGGCTCAGCCTCCACCTCCTCCCCCAGCTTCCCCAGGCGGAGTCCCAGCCGCTCTCCGCACTTCCTCTTAAACATAGCTCAGTGTCTTCGTCGTTAGTAGCATCAATGGACCCCAAGCCTGGAGACCTGCCTAGACATGTCCAAAGGGCTTTCTCCCTGACCGATGACTCCTTGGGGCTGGAGACCCAGGTTTGAGTCATCACGGAGAGGTGATGCTTGACGCCTGAGTGCGCAAGCCCCCCGGAGGAGGGATGGGACCGTGTCCGCTCGTGGGATCTGAGGTCAAGGAGGTGAGGGCGGACCTTGTGTACCGCATGCCCCTGCCCAGTGAGATGACGCCTTCTGGGGAGTGGTGAGCTCAGTTTTGGAGCCCTGGGTGTGCAGGTGCATGAGGTGCCCACTTGTCCTGCAGGGTCGCAGAGCAGAGGGCCTGTAGCAGGGTCTGTGGGGCGGGGACGGTCCTCACTTCTGTCCCTCCATCCTTCCCTCCCTCCGTCCTCCCTTTTCATTTCTGTCTCTCTGTGCCCTTCTCACCTTCTAAGAGTGCCAGGCGCAGGGAGGACTTCGTGTTCTTTCTTCCTGTTGTAGGGATGTCAGCATCTATATAAGGGGAGAGTAGGGGCGCGGAGAGCGCTGGACCCTGAGGTAGCATCCTCGCTGCCTCAGGTGGACCAGGCTGGACTGGGCTTGGGTCCCCCGAGTAGGAAGAAGAGTCATGGTGGGATGGTTTGGAGGCCCCTCCCCTGTGGCAGGGCACAAACCTGCACAGGGGGCCCCAGTTCGTGGAGGATGTCTCCGTGTCCTCACCGTCAGCAAAAGCCTCGGGCAAAAAGGCAAGGGGTGGAGAAGGGTGCGGGAGACACTGGGCGCCCCCGCCACGTGCGCATGCCACGTGAGGACGTGAGAGCCCAGACGCTCCCCGTAGTAGATCCACCTCTCGGTCTGTCCTGGCAGAGGAGGACCTGGCTGCGGTACTGGAGTGCATGGTGTCCCCCAAAAGTCATGTCCACCCAGAGCCTGCGGTTGTGGCCTTCCTGGAAATAGGATCATGGCAGGTGGAACCGAGGTGGGTCCTGAATCCAGTACTGCTGTGTCCTCCCGAGCCAGAGGGACGCTGGACTCGGACACTGGGGAGACAGAGGCTGGAGGGACACGGCCACAAGCCACGGAAGGCCGGGACTGCCCACAGCATGAGGGGCAGGTGGGGTTTTCTCCCGGAGCAGGAGGGATTTCTGATGTTTCAGACCCCCCACTCTGTGGGACTTGGCCACGCAGTCCCAGAAAATGAGTATGCCAGCCCTACCTGGGCAGCTTCCCGCACTGGAGACGGATTCTCCGACAGTTCCGCAGCTGAGGAAGCTGCGTTCCCTTCCAGGGGGTCCCGGGGGAATCTGTTTTCTGGCCTTCTCCATCTGGCTTCACGCGGGCGCCAGCATCCCCCCGTCTGCCCAGTGGGCAACACAGCATCACCCTGGCTACCTTTTTGTCGCCTCCTCCCACTCAGAAGGTTCTCATGGTTTCACCGTCCAACGTGGCCGCTCAGGACCACGTTCCCTCTCAGAACCAGCGAGGCGGTGCCCGTATGCCCACATGCACAGTGTTCAGATGTCTGCACATGGACATAGGTGGCGGCTGCTCCTCTGCGGCCGGCCACCCACATTCCAGAAGGCCGAAGCCACTTCTGTGAGCGAGGCTGTGACACGTCGTCACAGGAGAAGTTCCTGATGCCCCCGAGTGCCTCGCACGCACACTCGGCGGGGTGCTCCCATCACTCCCTCTGCGCCCGGCGGTGCTAATAGCCAACAAAATTAAAGATTTCGTGCAGATCCAGACATGAGTTTTTATGCTTCCTATTACCGCATACATTCGCTCGGTGCAAATGCGGACAAGAACAAACTAGCATTTGCTGCAGAAACGGAATTAGGAAGCGAGCAGGTTTGCCCATAAACCCCACGCTGGCAGGGGCCCCCAGTGCTGAGAACGCAAGCACGGTCACGTCCGCTTCCTTCCTTCCCGTGTTCCGTCCCGGACCTGTTTCGCTCCATCCTGAACACGAAAGCCGTATTCCCGAGGTCAAGAAAGCTACAGCAGCCGTCCATACCAGTTGAGAGTTAAACATTTACCCTGCTTATCAAGGCACGTTGAACAGCGCTTCACTACGCACGCCGCTCCAGCTATGAGCCCGTCTCCGCCGGGCGGGCCACTCACCTGCTCGGCTGCTCTTGCTGTGCCCCCAGCAACCTAAGATCCATCAGGGAACTCGGCAAGAGGAGCCCCGGGGCTGCGCTGAGTGACGTCCGTGAAGCGGAAAGGCTCTGAGATGGTCCCGGCTCTCCTGCTCTCACTGCCTTTCTGGGGGAGGGTTGGCCTTCGCGGGGAACCCAGGCTTGCGGAGAAAGGACAGGAAGTGCGTCAGGAGAGGGAGTTTCCTTACGAAGAGACGGACCCATTTTATTTCTCGGATAGAGCCCTCAGTGTTGCTAAGGCCCCTTTCTCCTGAACACACACACGGCGGAGCTCCTTGGACCTGGCGGATCCCCCGTGCTCAGGCTGCCTGAACCTTCCAGCCCCTACGTGGGCTTCCTTGAGTTACGGAGTCGCCAGGGCCCCACCCGCTGACTGGCATCTTTGACGCCACTCTCCCTGCTCGCAGGCGTGGTTGCTGGTGTGGCCGGGAGCTGAGGTGAAGCAGTCCTGCCCTGGGAGCCACTCTCATCTCCGGTCACACCAGGGCCAGCCTTCTTGGGCCAGCAGGCTTGCCTCATTGCCCTCCTTGTGCGCAGTCACTTGATTCCCTGACGGTGCTGGTGGTGTCTGGCCTCTTAGATGTCTCCCCCGGGGTGCCTGACATTTTAACCAAACAGGTGCACGTGGGACAGCTGGCCTGTGGCTGGCACACGGCAGTCAGGGTTAGAAATGGTGGCATGTGGCCCTCAAGGTGGCCTCTTAAAGCTAGTGAGGCTGCTTGGGTGCCAGCAATACACCATGAGTCTTTCCTCCATTCTCTATCAATCATGGGCTAAAATTCAGATCAGCATCGTCACTGACTAAATAATCCCCACCCACTACCCCC